GGTCAAGGAACTTGGTTATAGGACTTCCTATAGTTAAGTTCCTACAGAAAAAAGTTTGTGATGCATGTGTGAAAGGCAAGCATGTTCGTTCATCTTTTAAATTGAAGAAAATGGTGAGCACCATAAAGCCTCTAGAATTATTCCATATAGATTTGTGTGGTCATATGAGAATTCAAAGCAGGAGTGGCAAGAAGTATGTATTGGTTATTGTTGATGACTATTCTAGATTCACTAAGGTAATTTTTCTGCTAGAAAAGATGAAACCATTGATGAGTTTGTTGCCTTTGCCAAGAAAGTACAAAAAATCAAAGGCTATACCATAATCCATCTCAGATCAGATCATGGAACTGAATTTGAGAACTTCAAGTTCGATGAGTTTTGCATGGAAAATGGAATGAACCACTAATTTTCAGCTCCAAGAACTCCCTAACAAAACGGAGTTGTGGAAAGAAAGAATCGAACTCTAGAGGAAATGGCAAAGACGATGTTGATTGTAAGTGGATTACCAAGGATTGCTTGGCTGAAGCCATGAACACAACATGTTACATTCTTAATAGAGTAAAAATCAGAAGCATCATCAACAAGACTCTCTATAAACTGTTCAAGGGAAGAAAACCAAACATATCTCATCTCAGAACCTTTGGTTATAAGTGTTTTGTACATAACAATGGTAAGAAAAATCTAGGTGAAATTGATGAGAGAAGTGAGAAGGCTATATTCCTTGGATATGCCTCTAACATAAAAGCCTACAAAGTTTATAATAAAAACTCAATGTGTGTTGAGGAAAGCATTCACATAATCTTTGATGAAGTTAACCAATTTGTGAGTGTGCAGGAACAGGAAGAAAATAATGATTTTGAAATTGGATTAATAAGAGACAGGGATGAAGAAAAAGTTCAAAAGAAAACCAAAGAAGAGCAGATTGTTCCAGAGCGGAATCAATAGGAGAATGAAGAAGTTCCTCAACCAGAAGTACAGGTCAATAAGGAACCAGCTGACAAAGAAGAAGAAGAAGGAACAGAGCAAGAAGCTCCTCAAATTAGAGTTCCATCGAGGGAATTTCAACCTAAGTCGTTCAAATATCAAGGTTCCCATCTTACTGATCTCATCATCAGTGACATTGGTAAAGGAACTCAAACAAGATCGCAGATGAGGAACTTATGTGCCTTCCATGCATTTCTCTCCATTCTAGAACCTCGAAATCATCAAGAAGCCTTGGGAAATGATGATTAGACCGTGGCCATGCAAGAAGAGCTGAATGAGTTCGAGAGAAACAAAGTATGGCATCTTGAGCCCAAACCAAAGAACAAGAAAGTCATTAGGCTCAAATGGGTGTACATGAACAAGCTAGACGAGCATGGAACCATCATAAGGAACAAGGTAAGATTGGTTGTGAAAGGATACAACCAACAGGAAGGTATTGATTTCGAAGAAACCTTTGCTCCGGTAGCTAGATTAGAAGCTATTAGAATTTTAGTAGCTTTTGCCTCTTATATGGGTTTCTAACTATATCAAATGGATGTGAAATGTGCTTTTCTAAATGGTTACTAAATGAAGGATGTTTATGTTGAACAGCCCCCTGGTTTTGAAAATCCAAAATTTCCAAATCATGTTTTCAAGCTTGATAAAGCTCTTTACGGGCTTAAGCAAGCTTCAAGAGCCTGGTATGAAAGGCTTTCAAAGTTCCTTCTGAAACATAATTTCAAAAGAGGAAAAGGTGATAAATTTTTTTTCTAAAATCTCAAGGAACTGATCTTTTAGTTGTTCAGATTTATGTAGATGATATTATATTTGGAGCAACTAATAGTGCTTTATGCAAGTACTTTGCTAAGCTAATGGGTGGTGAATTTTAAATGAGTATCATAAGTGAATTGAACTTCTTCCTTGGACTTCAAATAAAGCAAACATCAAAAGGAATTATGATCCATCAACAGAAGTATGCCAAAGAACTTCTAAAGAAATACAACATGGAAAATGCCAAAACGAATCACACACCCATGGGAACAGTAATCAGACTTGATGAGTACCCACAAGGAACAAGTGTGGGTCAAATAATCATCATCTTGTGGTTGTGAATGGAAGTTTTGAAGTTGTGAAGGAAGAAAAGAGGCCAAAGGAAGTGGTAGCTTCAGTTGAGGGGGAAGCGAAAGAAGAAAAGGTAGTAGGGTTGATTGACAGTGTGTTAGAGGATATAAAAAATGATGTTGAGGGAGATCAGGGTGAAGAGGATAAAAGGAGTGTAGAGGAAGTGACTGAAATAGGGGGAATAAAGAAGAGAAAGAACTTAAGGTTGATGAAAAAGAAAGAAGTACCAGTTAAGATTTGCATTGATCTTTCTAGTGCCCGGGAGGAACTGCAAAAACTTCCTAGTACACCTATCTCTGTCAAGCATACATCTACAGGTACAAGATTCGTAGCTTTCAGTTCTCCACCAAAGGTTCCAAGTGAGGAGAGTACGAAGGAGATGAAGGACCTCCTCAAGAAGGTGCTCAAGGGACAGGAGAAGAGACAAGAGAAGATGAAGGAACCGAAGAAAAGTGTGCTCACTCTGGATGGTGGCATGAAGAAGCTAGTAACAAGCACTTAGAAGGCGAAGCTTGCTATTGTTTTTGATTTGTGTATCAGGTTTGCAAGAAGCTGGAAGATCTTGTTGTTGATGATGACCAGAGCACCGCATCTTAAAACCCATCTTATCCTGCTGCCCTTATTTTTATAATGTTGTAATATATTTGCTTTTGGAAACAATTTATTTTGGTCTGTAATTATTGGGTACTTTTATATTTTTCTAAACTTGTGAATTTGGTACATTTGGCCGATGTTTTAAATCGGCTTTTGATGATTAAGGTCTATGTTTAATATGCCTATATGCTTTGGGAATATTTGTTCTCTATGCATGCTTCATGTCTCAACACCAAACAACTTAGATTGGTGTTGTGTTATGGAATATTTTGTTATGAGTGTTGGTTTTTGTTAATGCCAAAAGGGGGAAATGGTGCCAACTCAAGGAAACTTAATCATTTTATAGTCTCTGTTCGAAATCTTCACAGCCTGCCCATTCTCTACAAGCAAGTATATGTAAATAAAGTTTGTTTTTATTTGTTAATGTTTTTTTTTGTTTGTTTCTGTTTTTTTTCCTCTTTTAGTTTAGTTTCGGATTATCTTTGTTTCCTTGTAAATAAGTTTGGTTTGTTTGTCATCATCAAAAAGGGGGAATATTGTTGACCTTATGATTTTGATGATGACACATCCTAACTTATTTACTGACTAATAAGTGCTTAATTGTATAAGTGTGTGATCAGATGCATTGACTAGGAGAATTGAGTTGTCTTGCAAAGATTCCATGAGGAACAAGATGGCAAAGGACAAAGTAACCCAAAAGAGAAGAGTTCCCTCACGAGAACTGGCGCTTCAGAGTTAGAGCCTTGAGAAGAGAAGTTCCTATTAAGGAACAGAAGCTTCGAAGTAAAAACTTCACCAGAGAAGAGAAGTTCCTCTAAAGGAACGGAAGCCTCGGAGTAGAATCTGCATTAGAGAAACATGAAGACTAAAATATTTTTATGTTTCAGGATTTATGTAAGTATGAGAATTAAGTTTATACTCTAAGTTAGCTGTGTGGATTGCTCCAAAAGACATTTTTATGCGTTGCTTAATGTTAGGAAAACGGTTGTTTCAATTCTTATTCTTTTAAAAATATGAAAAAGATTTTATTTTATTTTATTCAAAAATTATGTTGAAAAAATAAAATTTGTTTCAGTTTTCCTAAACTTACGGACTACTCTCCATGACTTAGCCCATGTCATGGTCTTACGCATTAAGGAGTTCATGTCTTTAATTCTAGGACATGATCTACTGAGTGGGTTGAGAGAAGTGGTAGTAAGGCTGAACGGCACAAGGCGTTTTTCCTAAGCTAAACCAGTTTAAAAATAGCTAGTTATTTCAGTTGGAAAAACTCACCCTTGCTCAAATAGATTTCATCTTTTGTTTTCTTTAATCGAGTCAAGAGTTCAATTCCACATTAGTGAAATAGAGTGTTCTTATATTCTTATATTAGAGTTAATTCTTTCGAATTGTATTTTGGGGAATTGGAAAGTTTGAGTGAATTTTTGTTTTAGCTTTGAGTGAAGCTAGGAGAAAGAGAAGAGAAGAGTAATAAGTTGGGTGACTTGTTGCTTGGGGCTTTGAGTTCGTTGAGGAATTTGAAGTTAGAGTTTGCCCTATTCTAGTGAAGAATCTTTTCCTAAAATCCCTTGTGGTCGTGATTTTTCTCCTTGTTTAGGGCCAAGGAGTTTTCCACATAAAATTTTTCTTGCATTTTAAGTTCCTTAAGCTTAATTGTTTTTATTTTCGTAAAAAGTTTGACAAATCTGTCATACTACAATTCAACCCCCCTTCCCCCCTTCTTGTAGTATTCATTGAAACAACACTTGTGCATACCTTGTTTGTGATTAAACTAACTCTTTGATCATGATTAAACTAACCCTTTGTGTTGACTTATTTCTTGTACATATGTCTATACATACTAATCCAAAACTAAGAGGATCTTGCTTAATTAATTTGGTTAATTAAAATGAATCCATAAATTATGAAGATGCTTGAACCTAGGAGACCTATAGGCTTTAACTTTTGAAAGAATGACTAAAAACCGATTGTCGTAATAAATTATGAATATGCTCGAACCTAGGAGACCTATAGGCTTAAATCTTCGCGACTCTTTTTCTTTAAATTCTTTTCCTTAGAACGCCGTCATGCCTAAAAGTATGTATACTTAGGAGCATATTAGATGTCACGAGTTTTCTAACTTTTCTTCTGTCGATTAATATGAAGTATTCCCGTCTTTTACACGAGGGAATAAACTTAAAACACGCAACAACCACAACTGGAACAATATGAAGTTTAAGAACAATATGGAATAAGAATATTAATAAAGCAAAAAAGGTATGCTATATGCTGCAAAATTTCAGCTATAAAAACCCCATCTGCACAACATTTTACCCAAATCAAACCAAAATAGAGCACTCTATTATTACATTACTAGTACTTATAATTTGTCTTTTTATTGATCAATAATTGAAAGACTATAAAAACAGAACTAGAAATGTATTCCTGTAGAGAAAACAGAGGATCTGTTAGAACTGCAGTAGCATGTCCTGTTTCATTTTCTGCTGCTGATAACAATCGGCACTCTGCGAATCACTGGTCTAATAACTTAGCAGAATTCAGGAAGACACCTGATCATTATGCTCCTTATGCTGCAGTTCCTTCAGCTCATTATAGTGTGTCCTCTAACAAGAGTTTTGCTCACTCCTCTTTTCCTGCTACCAATAATTCATCAGTTGCTGCCGGTTCTGGTTCTGGTGCTGCTTTACCTTCAAAAGCCACCACGTCAAAGGAGATCATTTCTTTCCACTCATCCACCAAATGGAAGGAATATCTTCAAGCTTCTAAGCACTCCAACAAGCTGGTTAGTGAATATTCGTAATTTGAAATAACAATGTGACAACTATATCTGGATGCAGAGTACAATTACTATTTTGTGTACATGAGATACTAACTTTTTGCTTCATTGTTTTAAGGTTGTGATATACTTCACGGCTAAATGGTGTGGACCTTGCCAGTCCATGGAGCCGACTATCAAAGAATTTGCTGCTAAGTACAACAATGTCGAGTTGGTCAAGATTGACGTGGATGAATTATTAGCAAGACATTAGACCCCCTTTTCTTAGCAAACTTGTACATATTTTTTGTGCTTAATCTTGTAAACATAAAAAGTTTTCTCTATTTATTTGTACACTTTGCTGACTTCTTAAACTATTGGATGAATGTAAACAGAATGTATCGTGTGAGGATGGAATACAAACAATGCCAACATTCTTGTTCATGAAGAATGGAAAAGAGATCGACAAGGTAACTGGTGCAAAGACGGAAGATCTTCAAAGGAAAATTGAGAAACACAGATCGAATTGATACCTAAAGTAGTTCTATAACTACTTGTTACGGAGTTTTAAAAATTAATTATCATTCGAATGATGAGTTAGGTTGGCCTATTTCGAAAGCTAGGCTAGCGTATTATTTTACAAGTATTCATATTAGGGATTCCTTATGGATTACTTTCTAGAGTTGTACCTTATATTCAAATTTAGCTTTGGAACATTTTTCATTCAATTTCCCACATTTGGGACTGCTGTATTACCTCATATTCAAATTGAGAATTGCGTTTCTAAATAACAAAGCGTTCATTTATGTGTATTCTTTTTTTTATGCCCATTAGATTGCAACAGAATAAAATCAGGAAGGAAAAAAAAAAAAGACTGATATAATGTAATCCAAAACATAGAGAATTTTGGTAAGCCAATAAATTAATAAAGAGAAATTTACAATGATGACCCCCAACTTTTGCTACGCATCAATGGTGACCTCCCTTTTTTCAATTATACAAAATGATCTTAGTTAAAAATTTCATCTCACTCATAACCTTATTTCATTAAATATAACTTGGTTAGATTTATATTTTTTTTTTCTAAAAAAAATAATAAATAAAAAATAACCCAACCACGAAAACCAGCCTCCCCCACCTACCCAACCACCCTCTCTTTTTCCGTGACACTACCCTAGGATCCTCCGACCGCCGATGAAGCTGCGCCAACTCCACCTTGACCACCAACAATTCAGATTCCCAAATCCCCACCCATGACCCTCCATCTCTCTCCTCCCTTCTCACCGTCACCACCACTAGATCGCCAAACCCAAACCACCAACCAACCGCGCACCACCACACAAAACACCACAGCTCCCTCATCAGCCCACGCACTTACCGTAGCCACACTACTTCTTCCCCTCGCAACCACATTCACTGCCCAACCACCAATCGACCACCTTATCCCTGGTGCAACCTGCAATAACCACTTTACACACCACCGCACGAACCAGCCATCTACCACCATCTCTACCAATCGCGCACCTCCTGCAGCACACGCAACGGCAGCCATAGATTTCCACCACCAAGACTACCAAACAACGAACCGCACAACAGCCACCACTCTACCTCCACTATTTGACTTCCAATCCACTTGCAATCAACAATTTGGCCACCAACAATTACATTTTCAGTCTCCAATTGCAGCAATTTGACATTCAACATCTTCAATCTTCAACCAATTGAAAATCCAGAGTTTAATCTTCAATCTTTAACAAATTCAACATTTTCGGTTTGAGGAGAGAGAGTTGTGAGGTTAAGTTTCAGAGAGGGGATTCGGTGATTGCGGTGAGGGTGGAGGTGTTCTGGCTACGTCTAGTGGGGGATGTGGGTGGTGGTGGAGGCTGGTTGGTGGTTTTTCTTTTTTAGTTTATTGTTTTTTTTTTCAAAGCTAACCATAGTTAGGTTTTTTTTTCTAAATAACACTCAATAATGTCATAAGTGAGAAAATTTTCTTAATTAGGGTCATTTTAATTTGTATAATTGAAAAAAAAAAGAGGTCACCATTGATGCGTAGCAAAAGTTGAGGATCACTATTGAGAATTTCCCAATAATAAATAAAACTATGCACACTTTTTAAATATGCACAATATGAAATATTTGAAAAACAATTGATGCATTTGAAATGCGAATATGGACATATCGTTGTTCAAAATGAACACTAGCATACAAGTAATAAAATGCCTCAATCCTCAAGGGCTAAGTGAGCGTGGCAAAGTTCATATTTTAAATTGTTAGTTGCTTCCTCCGTCCCTTAATCTTTGATCTATTTGGATAAAATCAAGTCTCAAAATGATCATTTTATTTGCATTAAAAGGAAAATTTGCAAATTGCAGCCATTTAAGGTTTTTATTTTGCAAATTGCAAGCATTTAAAAATAAAATTGCAAATAACAACCCAAAAGTACTAATAAATTGTAAATTGCCACCCAATCCAATTTTTTCATCGATTTGCGTGCCGAAAAATGTTCCGTCTAGGTTTTAGGGGTCATTTTAGTTCTTAGGGAACCAAATTGAGCTCGAAATTGGCAAAAATTAACATAATTACCTCGTTTCAATTGCAAAAAATAGTTGCACACAAATCAATACATTTTTTGACACGCTAAACGAGATACTTACGTTATTTTTTTACTAATTTCGAGCTCAATTCGGTTCCTTAAGAGCTAAAATGACCCCTAAAACCTTTATGAAATATTTATACAGCACGCAAATCGAAGAAAAAATTGATTTGGGTGGCAATTAACAAGTTATTAGTACTTTTGGCTGCAATTTTTCTTTAAATGACTGCAATTTGCAAAATACAAATTTTAAATGGTTGTAATTGGCAAATTTTCCGCATTAAAATACCTTCCAAATCTTTGACTCATTTTAAAAGACACATTTGTCAAGGCAAGACTTCAACTGGAATATCTTTAATAACTATCAATAAGTATAAATTATAAGAAATTACTATTCGAAACTATACATTGAAAGAATTTCAACAAATACATACATGACAATATTTAATCTTGTATAAATCGCAGACAAAGGTCGTCAAAATACATATGTAAATAGTACAAAAGTTAAAATAGAATATTTACGGTAAAACGAAATGTGTGTCACTGTTGGACATAAGATATGACAATGAGAATCCTGTCTTTTCTTCATTGAATAATGTACTAGATCCGTAGATGATAATGTGACAATTATGCGAAGTATTATTTGTATAGAAAAAGTCCAAAAGACTCAACCAGGCATTATAAGAGAAGCCGGGCCACTATCACATCCTCAACCCAGCTCAACGCCCACAATATTACAAATCAAGCCGTGACACTAAAATTGACGGAAACTAATCCTTCCCTGCCCGTTTAATTGCAATACTTGAAATCAGTAGGTTATTATGACGAAGACCCAATAATTTTTGAGCTCGAGTAGGTGTAGTTCTTTCCACTACTCTTCACCTTCACGTTCTCTGCGAGGACAAGAAAGCATAGAAGGTCAATTAGGTCAAAGGTGAAGAACAAGAAAGATAAAAGGTATTTCAGGTTTTTTTTTTTACAAGCTCAAGAAACGCAAGGGAACAAGTTTTGAACATCTTATGGCTAGTACCGGCAATGGGTCTTCTCAACCCCCTCATTTGTTTTGTCAAGCAGTCCACAACATTTGTATTCCCGATCCCCATTTTAGTTCTTGTAATAGTATGATTAAGAGATTTATATACTCTCTTTATAGTCTCGAATCAGTTGGGAGTTAGCTTCCTTTTTAGACCGTTGTCAAAATAAATAAATAAAATTCGCAATACTTCACTATACTTTCATCCCTTTGTTTCCAATCGATATGTTTGATTATGGGAAATATACTTATATTTCCATTAGTTGTTTGGAGTTGGACTTCGTCACTTTTTTTTTTTTTTTTTTTTTTTTTTTTTTTTTTTTTTTTAATAATTGAGTGTTAATCAAAATAGTATGAGACCTTATCTCAATATTTAAATTTGTAAGAATGATATGTGATATGATGATAGCTTAGTGGCTATCACTTTAGTTTTAAATTTAAGGTTATAGGTTAAAATCTTGTACAATTCATATTTTTCAGAACATAAAATAAATACTCGATTAATTGAGGAGGACGCCACGTGGTATGTAGACTTGTTTAACGTCTTTCAATACTACCTTCGGAACATATTATATGCAACTTTTGCCAAAAAAGAAAATTTCACATTAGATGCAACTTTCCCATTCTTTCCTATTTTAGTAAAACTTTTTTAATAAAACTACTCAAATACCCTTACTTAAGATATCAGGGTGAGTGGAGTTGGTTTGAGGTTGGTTTTGCGGTGATTCAGGGTGAGTGTTGGTGGTTTAGGTTTGGTTTTGCGGTGGTTCAGGGTGAGTGGAGGTGGTGCCGATGAGGCTACCGGTTAGGCTACGGTAGTAGCCTAATGGACCGTAGCCTAATGGGGTGACTGTTGGTGGTGGTGGTGGTGGTTAATTATCTACATTCCCTCTCCCACCCTTAGTTACATACTCTTTAATCCATTAAATAACTATTGTAAAATTTTGTCTTTCCGTGAGAGCTCAAAAGTTGCATATAATATGATCCGAAGGTAGTATATAGTATAGATATCAAATTTTAAAATTTTGAATAGACACAATCAAACTTGGCACACATATCTGTGTACTACTTGACCTTAAATACATTTAATTAAATATTAGTAAAAAAAATTCAAAAGTAGATATTATGAAACACTATATTAATACCTATTTAACAACATATTTCATGATGAAATTTGGTTTTTTATACATTACTCCATCCGTCCCATAATATTTGGGATGTTGGGGTGGATACGTAGTTTAAGAAAACTACAAGTGCATCCATTTAAAACATTTGTTTATTATGTAAAGGATTCTCTTTTGTATTTTTTATAGGGGGGTGTTAAATACCACCATCCAAATTTATCACTACCGCCATCATTTCAAGTAAACTGACAATCTTACCCATACTAAACCCGAACCCATTTTTTACCCTTATTTTTTCACCCTTATTTTTTTTTCTCTCTCCTCAAACACCAACCACCCACCTTTTTCCACACTACCTCCATAAGCACAGATTTGGGGTTTACCAGGCCGCGGCAGCGATGCGATCTCAAGCGATGGTGGCGGCGCGAAGTCAGGCAGCGTCGGCGGCAGAATGGGTGAAAAGGAGGTAAGTAGTTTCCGACTTTTTTTTCTGAATTTCGATGTTTTTTTTATGCAATAATTGGCTGATAACCGGAGGCGAAAACCAATTGCCAGCACCGGCAACCGGCTGCCAAATCCGGTTGACCGGGCCGGTAATCGAATTTCACCTGCAGTTAGCTACGACGGTTTACTGTTTTTGGCGTCCGATTACCGGTGCTGGCAACCGGTTATCACCTCCAGTTACCAGTGCTGCCAATCGGTTTTCACCTCGGTTACCTGCCATCTGTTACTAACCACCATATTTTAAAGTTTTTTTTCCAGCACCGGTTATCACCTCCAGTTACCGGTGCTAGCAATAGGTTTTCACCTCCGGTTACCGGCCACCATATTTTAAAGTTTTTTTTTTAACTTTGTTTTTTTTAATGAAGAAAACCGTGCAAATTTTGAACAAATTTTTTTTTTTTTATAATTATGATTTTATTTTTATTTTATAATAATTATAATTAATTATTATTAGTAGTAATGTGATTGTTGTTGGATTTAGGGTTAGATTATTATTATTAAAGTTATTGTTATTATTGTTGAGTGATAATTATTATTAATATTATGATTATTATT